ATCACATCCGCATATTCTGTTGGACGCTCTGCATCAACAAATTTTTTTCCGGCATCTCTAAGATATTTTTTGTTTAAATATGTTCTAAACCCTCTCAGTATTTTGCCGGCCAATCCAAGACAATAATCTTTTCTTTTGTCATCAATGTTGAAAGACCTCTACAAAAAACATACACAAAGTGCGTTAGTATAAGTAATTTAAAGACATAATTTAAAGTACATAATCGTAATTTAAAGACATAATTTAAAGTACCTGTATCTCACTCCAGATTTTGTTTTTAGCATCATTCAGCTTATCATCTCTCCACTCATCATAAGTTATTGGAATTTCTCTCCTTACAAGTGTGCCAATGTAACTTGTAAATTTAGAACCGTTAGGCTCAATTAATTGGTCATTTGGACTCCAATGCACATCATATTTTATACCCTTATCTCTATCACGAATGATATTCTTCATTATAGTTTTTCCTCTTTTTATTTCTTTTTCCACTCCCTTACTGGATTTTCCTCCATCATTGTCTCCATCATTAATAGAATCATCGTGAGGGTGCTCCTCGTTACTAGCCACCTAACCTGTAATAAAGAAAAACATTAGTATCTAATGACAAATATTTAATTCCAAATATATAATTCCAAATATCTATTCAGTATATAAAATGACAAATATCAATTGAGTATATAAAATGACAAATATCAATTGAGTATATAAAATGACAAATATATAATTTATTAGAAGTTTGCTAAGTGTTAACAGGTATGGAGGAATATATATTACCTCTTTCACTAACATCTCTTTCTTTTCTTGGTTGGATTCCTAATTACTTGTCTCTTAAGAACGCGGACGGAGGGATTGATCCAAATTCCCTCATCATGATTTTTTCTGATATATGATTCATCCGCTGTAGTATCATCATCTCGATCGTTTCTAATATACGACTCATTCTCAACATCAACATCAACTTGATCCACACTTTTATCATCAATCACTTTGTTAGATAAAAGCACTATAGACCATTTCGTATTCTTCGGGTCTGTGACATAGAACACTTGTTTAACTTGAGAGGCTAGAATAAAAGGCTCATCTTTGTACCCCACCCTACTAAGATCCACTTGCAAAAACCCTGACTTATCCATTCGTATGCCACTAGTATGTACCCACTTGCAACCAAAGATAGGAATCTGAAACTTCTCATAATCAAACACCCAGATGTGATTGATAACCCCGAAATATGACAAATTTTCATATTTGGGGTTTAAGTCCTTCATACCAGAAATGTGCATTGCTTCACATACCACCGTGACACCACTATTTTGCATGGTACTTTTCTCATCTTGTTCTTTGGTATAAAATGTGTATCCATTAATTCCATATCCTCTATAAGAGAACACAATCGAACTTGGACCATATGCCAAACATCTCAACCTATCTGATATTGAAGCGGGATCTGAATGAAACTTTGAATATATATGATCCTTAAACCACTGTATAAAACTTTGATTGTGCTCTCGTACTATCCAATTTTCATTTCTACTTTGATTCTCACCTCGGAGTATAGCCTTGTGCATTTCAACAAACGACTCAACCTCAGTGTCATTGTGCAGAACATACAAATGCACTTGATCCCGTTCATCCCTTGATACTGTCACAATTTCATTTCCAATTAATTTGTTACCTTCTTTTTTTTCTCGAAAAAATGAGATTTGGGGAGTCCAATGGATTGCACATTGGACAAAAAATCAGTATAAAACTCAACCGCTTCTTCAACAACGTATCGCTCAACGATACAACCCTCTGGACGACTTCGGTTTTTCACGTACCCTTTTAATATTTTCATATAACGTTCAACATGGTACATCCATCTCATATAAGCTGGTCCACACAATTGTGTCTCTTTCACAAGATGAACAACAAGATGTACCATAATGTCAAAAAATGATGGAGGAAAATACATTTCAAGGTCACACAGAGTAATAACGATTTCTTTTTGTAATACTGGTAAGATCTCAGGATCGATCACCTTACTACAAATTGACCTGAAAAAAAACACAATTTAGTTATAGCGCTTCTTACTTTTTCTGGCAAAATAGAACGTATACCTATTGGTAGAAAATGTTCCATTATGACATGGCAATCATGTGTCTTCAGACTCTTTAACTTGAGGTCTTTCATGGACACGAGTCTTCTAATGTCTGAGGAGTAACCTTCTGGAACTTTAACTTCACTCAGAAACTTACACAATATTTTCTTTTCCTTTCTAGATAGAGTATAAGAAGCAGGTGGTAGATATGTTCGTCTTCCTTTCTTCACGGGTCCTAATTCAGTTCTTATTCCCATCTCTACCATGTCCTCTCTTGCTTTAAGGCCATCCTTAGACTTTCCTTTTATATTGAGTAACGTACCAATAACACTTTCAAATACATTTTTTTCAATATGCATAACATCAAGAAAATGTCTTACGTACAAAGATTTCCAATATGGAAATTCAAAAAAGATTAACCTCTTCTTCCACCCACCTGTGACAACTTTATGTGCAAAAGGCTTGCCAAACTGAATACTCACATCTTTCACCTTTTCACAAATTTGATCACCTGTCAATCTAGGTGGAGCTCTACGTTGTTCGGTATTTCCATTGAACGCTTTTCTCCATCCACGATATTGATGTTTTGAATTTAAGAATCTACGATGACCGAGAAAGACATTCTTTTGACAAAGTTTCAATCGTGTCGTATCGGTTCCATCTTCACAGACAGGACACGCTTTTTCACCTTTAATGCTATACCCGGATAGATTTCCATATGCTGGAAAATCGTTAATTGTGCCAAACAACATCGCCCTCAAATTGAAACTTTCTTTCCTATATCCATCATAAACCTCCACACCGTTCTCCCACAAAATCTTCAAATCTTCGATTAAAGGTTTCAAGTATACATCTATGTCATTCCCTGGTTGTTTAGGCCCAGAAATTAACATAGATAACATCATGTACTTGCGCTTCATACATAGCCATAGAGGTAGGTTATAAATCATAAGAATCACAGGCCATGTGGAATGTGAGATACTTTGAAGACCATGCGGGTTCATTCCATCCGTAGATAATGCCAAGCGAAGGTTTCTTGTTTCTCCTCCAAAATCAGGATAATCATTATCAATTTTCTTCCACTGTGGTGCATCTGTCGGATGTCGAAACTTTCCATCGATAATTCTTTCATCTGCATGCCAAGTCAAGTGTCTAGCATCGGTTTCACTACGAAACATGCGTCTAAATCTCAGAATAATAGGAAAATACCATAAGACTTTCGCTGGAGATAATTTTTTCTTATATCGAGATAAACCGCACTTTGGGCACTCATTCAACGATGCATATTCCTTTCGAAACAAAATACAATCATTTAGACATGCATGTATCTTATCATAGCTCGTGCCAATAGAGCACAACATTTTTTTGGCCTCGTAGGTTCAATTGGGAAGAACATTATCCTCAGGAAGCATATCTCTCAAAAGGGCTAATAACTGTGTGAAACTTTTATCTGACCATCCATTGCGCGCCTTTAAGTTGTACAATTTTAATACCGCAGACAATCTTGTGAATTTGGGGCAATCTTTATACAACGGTTTCTCCGCATCGCTTACCAACCTCTCAAACATTTTGGGACAATCTTGAAGACCTTCTTCAAGTGCTTCTGCAATCTCTTCCACCCGATCACAATCATATGTATCCGTGGCATTGTCGTACGAAACATAGGTCGCATTACTTTTCACCCCCGGTTCAACATTCTCGATGCTTTTCTCACCATGAAATATCCAACACGTATAACTTCGATCAATTCCGCGCATTAGTAAATGCGATTTCAATCCATCTGCGTCAACCCGACCCACATAACAACAACCCAAGCAAGGACATTTCGTTCTATTCGGGTCTTCAGCATGTTCAACAGCAAACTTAACGAACTCTAATACCCCATCCTCGTACTCTTTTGACAATCGACCGGCACACATCCATTTTTTATCCATGGTTTTAACTATTATCTAAGTTAAAGACTCTGTGTTGTCAACAAAAATCAAACATGTGATTAGAACAATTCTAGAAATGAGGATTGTTATGGTCCTATAACATATTCAATCAATGATCGTCAACGTTACAATTTTAGAGACATTAGCTTAGTTGTGAACTCATTCTAAGATTCATGATTTGTGTTATTTTTTACTATTACTAAGTTAAATATTAGATGGGGGATTTACATGATGTGATTCCTTTGTTCCTTGCAGGCATGTCTACATGAGCTAAGCATACATTATGAGAAACAGAAAAGAAACAATGTAGGGAAATTAAGTGTCATGTTGAATGGTATTTTGACTAGTCCATAATATATCTTAGATTTAAAAAAAAGTCAAAATAAAAGTTTCAAAAGAGAGAATAGAAACCATAATACCTAAGGTTCCTCGGCTTTTACTCGCGGAGATTGTTAATTTTCTAATGTTTTCCAGTTTTGTATGATGCAAACCCATATGTCAACCCATATGTCAACTCATATGTCAAATATTTAATTCCAAATATATTTAATTTTCTAATGTTTTTCGACAGAGATATTGACATACCTTAGATATTGTTTGCAAACAAATATTGCAATATGAGTACATAATGTGAGTACTCAAATATTTAATTCCATACTATATATATCTGTCACTGAAATGTAAGTACATAATGTGATCACATTGGACCACCATTAACATTGGACCACCATAAGTAAAACTGACTTTTGAACCATAACAAAGTATATTTTTGTGGACTACTGTTTATATTTTACTATTTTGGCAGCAAAAAGTTACATTAATATAGATTAAGTTACACCTACTTCTTAAAGTATTTTAACTTTGTCCCTTAAAATTACCAGAGGTCTATAACACTATTGTCTATATAATATAATCAGCTTATTCTTTCTATTTCACAAACAGAGTTCTGGTTTTGTATTTCAAGGGTAGTGGATAATAATCAAGAAAAAATGGCTGAAACAAAGTTGAAGGATAAAAGATGGTCGCTGGAAGGTATGACTGCATTAGTAACTGGAGGAACCAAAGGCATTGGGTAATTTCGATATCTTACTCTTACTTCAAGTATTTATAGAATAATAGCATACATTTATTTATATTTTTCTATTATGATTCTTGAATTAGGTTCGCAATTGTGGAAGAGTTAGCAGAATTTGGAGCAGCGGTGCATATATGTTCACGTAAGGAAGATGATATTAACAAATGTTTGGAAGAGTGGAAAAGAAAAGGGTTTAATGTAACAGGATCAGTATGTGATATACTTAGTCATGAACAACGGAAGAGATTAATGGAAATTGTTTCTTCTATCTTTCACGGAAAGCTCAATATTCTAGTATGATCAGTTTACATATAAAAGATTAGATTAATGCAGACAATGTTTAGGCCCTTGGTTTACCTTACTTTGTTCAACATATGACAGTTATTTGAGATATGAAAAACATATCAACAAGTCAGTAACCATAATATATCCATAAAATGAAGAGTTTTACAAAGCAATTTCAAAAGGACATAAGCGACAGTGGCCGCCGCACTTGCAGCAACATAAGTGGCCACCTCTGCTTTTGTAGGAAACACGTCTTGCTCATCATGCGTAATACAAATTCAACACACAAAGCAACAAATATAAATAAAACTGTGCCACAAACTAAAACTCACCCACATAACTTACCAAGAAGGAGAGCTAACATATGCTATAAGCGCTTATGCTATAAGTGCTTAATTAAACTATTTATCCTAAAAGGGCCATATATATATATATATATATATATATATATATATATATATATATATATATGAACCCAATTCCGTAACTTTTCGCTAAATTTTACAATCTAACACCAAATCACATCAATAGTGAACAATTATAAATCAATAATCACTTAACTTAATTGATTTTCTTCAACTGCATAAGAATGATTTGGTAACGTGATTAATAAAAAACACACCTTAGGATCATTTTTGGATTGTAAATAAAGTTTTGATGAGAAAGAGATAGAAAGTGTTACCAAACGGGCAATTTGCGTCTGTTGATGCATACTCTTTTTAACGGTCAAACCAACAAGAAGAGGAAGTACATGTGTTCCTAAGACAGTTTACAACTACATAGTATATTCTCTGCCACCGTGGTCAAACTTCTATCTGTTTTCATAGCTTTTATTAAACTATTTGATCTCTACCTAACATAAGAATCAAGGTTTCAGGTCATCACCTCAGGTAAGAACTTTCACTTTATCACAACTTATGAAGTATACATTCCCAATTTTCAAAGAAATATAGATAAATATGATATTAACATGAACACTACAACAGATGGAGTCATTCTACCTGTTTGTGTGCCTAAATTGGAACCAACTGTTGTGCTATCTAATTACACTCATAATGATATATATGCAAAGTTTCTCAACAATTCAAAGTACACTGGAGTTGGACTTAATTCTGAGGATGATTGGATGGTTCTTGTTCTTACTACTACTACACCTACTGGAACTTTATCTGCAGCAACTTCTCTTCATGCTAATCTTGTTTCGATGGCTTTCTTGTTTGTGGTGATTCTCATCATCAACTCCAAACCTTGACTGCTTTATTTCTAGCTTTTTAATGCTTCATTATGGATAATGGATAATGTATCAAGTTTAATTACTCTTCTATAATCTCTCACATGGCCATCACATTATTTGCTTGCTTGTTGTATGTTTAGTTCAAAAAACTGAATCATATCGAAAACAATATCAGAAACAAACACTTCATCCTTAGAAAACAACTTTCATCACTAAGCTTATTTTCTTCTGGCCTCTTCAGGGAGGGAAAAAGATATGGTTGGAATCTAGATAGATATGTCTGGAAATTTATAAAGGAGCTAATGTATGGATAATGGATAATGTATCAAGTTTAATTACTCTTCTATAATCTCTCACATGGCCATCACATTATTTGCTTGCTTGTTGTATGTTTAGTTCAAAAAACTGAATCATATCGAAAACAATATCAGAAACAAACACTTCATCCTTAGAAAACAACTTTCATCACTAAGCTTATTTTCTTCTGGCCTCTTCAGGAAGGGAAAAAGATATGTCTGGAATCTAGATAGATATGTCTGGAAATTTATAAAGGACATATACATATACAAAAAGTTGAGAAACTTTAGAACAAGCCCATTTTAAAAAAGTAAACGGCTCAGTGATATCTTCCAACCAGTAACAGTCACATGCAACTGATTATTACTATAAGGCCTCGAATTATAAATGAAAATACAGTTCAGATAGTTAAGCCTTTTCCCTCTACATCTTAGTTGGGAACAAGAAGATTCAACTATTTTACCAACTTCAGTTTTCTAGATAATACTACCATGCTTCAAAATAAAAACTTACCATTAACTTATTTTGGTAGACACATTATGAGAGTATGTCTAGATGAAGGGTTTTGTAGGGAAATGAAAGAGAAATAAATGAGTATTTCAAGTATAACTTTCAATGAAGGGAATAAAATGATACGTTATCTTCAAAGTTAACATCTAATCACATTCATTTTTAAAGTAGTATTGAATATAAAACACTAAAATAAAAAAATAAAAAAAGAGGACTGTCCCCTCGTTACATGAAACCTGTTAAACAATCTAACTAAAATTTATTATGTCTAGTAAACATCTATGCATAGTCTTCCTAATCAAATGGCTTTTACTTCAGTTTCTAATTCCATGGTGGCTTACTAATCATGTTACGGATACGTTTGTTTCCTAAAAACTAGTCAAAGACCCAAACATTTGAAATCCATTACTGAATGTCAGAATCTAAATATTTCCCACTATACCACTCTATCAACATTCAAAACCAGATAAATCAGTCAACTTCTAGGTATGCAGATACAATAATTTTATTCCATGAATTTTAGAACTGAAGTACCAAGCAATAAGCAAACAAAAACTGCAGATTTATTTTCATAAACGCAATGAAAGTTATTCAAACTTAAACGCAGATCATAAATCATTACTATAAGTAAGATTTTGAATCGGAACCCTAAACACTTAACCCGTGACAGAGAATCGCATCGGAATTAAAAAACGATGAATAAAAGATGAACAAGAGAATGGGTTAAAAGAAAGAACCTTATTTTGAGTTCCACAGCTTCAGCGATTGTAAACGGATTTGAAAGAGATTAAACAAGACAAAAATAACGAAGGAGATGGTGAGGAGGGAGAGTTAGACGAAGATGAACAATTGCATGTATAAAGTGGGGTTTTGTATAAAGTGGGGTTTTGTATAAATTTGGGGTTTCTGATAACCAATTTAGGGATTTAGAAATTTTTTAATTACCTTAGACAGCGCTTTCAAGAAGCGCTGCTAAAGGTATTACCTTTAGCAGCGCTTTAAGGCTTTAGCAGCGCTTTAGTTTAATGCCTTTAGCAGCGCTTCCTGAAAGCGCTGTCTAAGGTATACCTTTTATCACACCTTTAGCAGCGCTTTTGGTAAGCGTTGTCTAAGGTATACCCTTTAGCAGCGCTTATTCTTATTTTTTTTATTTTTTTTATCGAAAGCCTATAGCAGCGCTTAGGGAAAGGAAGCGCTGGCTATGTTAAATCCTTTAGCAGCGCTTTTAGTAAGCGCTGTCTAAGATATACCCTTTAGCAGCGCTTATTCTTATTTTTTTATTTTATTTTATTGAAAACCTATAGCAGCGCTTAGGGAAAGGAAGCGCTGTCTATGGAAAGGCCTTTAGCAGCGCTTTTAGTAAGCGCTGTCTAAGGTATATCTTTAGCAGCGCTTACTCTAATTTTTTAATTTTTTTTTTATAAAAAAAACCTATAGCAGCGCTTATGGCATAAGCGCTGTCTATGTGGCGCTGTCTAAATTCAATTTTGGCATAGTGTCAGTTCACTATCCACGAAGTCTACGGAGCACTTAACCTAGGATGATGGGCACGTGTTGTCCATCCACACTACCACGTGAGAATCCTGGTAGCCATCCATTATGACATGGATACTCAACCCATAATGGAGGTCATTAGTCCAACACTAGGGGCTCTATAATTACTCTCCTATGCAGGAGAGTCAGGTATCTTATTCACTATTCATACACTCATTTACCTCATACTCCTTCTGATTTAGCATCAATAAGCAAACAAAAACTGCAGATTTATTTTCATAAACGCAATGAAATTTGTTCAAACTTAAACGCAGATCATAAATCATTACTATAAGTAAGATTTTGAATCGGAACCCTAAACACTTAACCCGTGACAGAGAATCGCATCGGAATTAAAAAACAATGAATAAAAGATGAACAAGAGAATGGGTTAAAAGAAAGAACCTTATTTTGAGTTCCACAGCTTCAGCGATTGTAAACGGATTTGAAAGAGATTAAACAAGACAAAAATAACGAAGGAGATGGTGAGGAGGGAGAGTTAGACGAAGATGAACAGTTGCATGTATAAAGTGGGGTTTTGTATAAAGTGGGGTTTTGTATAAATTTGAGGTTTCAGATAACCAATTTAGGGATTTAGAAATTTTTTAATTACCTTAGACAGCGCTTTCAAGAAGCGCTGCTAAAGGTATTACCTTTAGCAGCGCTTTAAGGCTTTAGCAGCGCTTTAGTTTAATGCCTTTAGCAGCGCTTCCTGAAAGCGCTGTCTAAGGTATACCTTTTATCACACCTTTAGCAGCGCTTTTGGTAAGCGTTGTCTAAGGTATACCCTTTAGCAGCGCTTATTCTTATTTTTTTTTATTTTTTTTATCGAAAGCCTATAGCAGCGCTTAGGGAAAGGAAGCGCTGGCTATGTTAAATCCTTTAGCAGCGCTTTTAGTAAGCGTTGTCTAAGATATACCTCTTAGCAGCGCTTATTCTTATTTTTTTATTTATTTTATTGAAAACCTATAGCAGCGCTTAGGGGAAGGAAGCGTTGTCTATGGAAAGGCCTTTAGCAGCGCTTTTAGTAAGCGCTGTCTAAGGTATATCTTTAGCAGCGCTTACTCTAATTTTTTAATTTTTTTATTAAAAACCTATAGTTCCGCTTATGGCATAAGCGTTGTCTATGTGGCGTTGTCTAAATTCAATTTTGGCATAGCGTCAGTTCACTATCCACGAAGTCTACGGAGCACTTAACCTAGGATGATGGGCACATGTTGTCCATCCACACTACCACGTGAGAATCCTGGTAGCCATCCATTATGACATGGATACTCAACCCATAATGGAGGTCATTAGTCCAACACTAGGGGCTCTATAATTACTCTCATATGCAGGAGAGTCAGGTATCTTATTCACTATTCATACACTCATTTACCTCATACTCCTTCTGATTTAGCATCAATTAGCAAACAAAAAGTACAGATTTATTTTCATAAATGCAATGAAAGTTGTTAAAACTTAAACACAGATCATAAATCATTACTATAAGTAAGATTTTGAATCAGAACCCTAAACACTTAACCGTTGACAGAGAATCGCATCGGAATTAAAAAACGATGAATAAAAGATGAACAAGAGAATGGGTTAAAAGAAAGAACCTTATTTTGAGTTCCACAACTTCAGCGATTGTAAACAGATTTGAAAGAGATTAAACAAGACAAAAATAACGAAGGAGATGGTGAGGAGGGAGAGTTAGACGAAGATGAACAGTTGCATGTATAAAGTGGGGTTTTGTATAAAGTGGGGTTTTGTATAAATTTGGGGTTTCTGATAACTAATTTAGGGATTTAGAAATTTTTTAATTACCTTAGACAGCGCTTTCAAGAAGCGCTGCTAAAGGTATTACCTTTAGCAGCGCTTTAAGGCTTTAGCAGCGCTTTAGTTTAATGCCTTTAGCAGCGCTTCCTGAAAGCGCTGTCTAAGGTATACCTTTTATCACACCTTTAGCAGCGCTTTTGGTAAGCGCTGTCTAAGGTATACCCTTTAGCAGCGCTTATTCTTATTTTTTTATATTTTTTTTTATCGAAAGCCTATAGCAGCGCTTAGGGAAAGGAAGCGCTGGCTATGTTAAATCCTTTATCAGCGCTTTTAGTAAGCGTTGTCTAAGATATACCCTTTAGCAGCGCTTATTCTTATTTTTTTATTTTTTTAATTGAAAACCTATAGCAGCGCTTAGGGGAAGGAAGCGCTGTCTATGGAAAGGCCTTTAGCAGCGCTTTTAGTAAGCGCTGTCTAAGGTATATCTTTAACAGCGCTTACTCTAATTTTTTAATTTTTTTTAAAAACCTATAGCAGCGCTTATGGCATTAGCGTTGTCTATGTGGCGCTGTCTAAATTCAATTTTGGCATAGTGTCAGTTCACTATCCACGAAGTCTACGGAGCACTTAACCTAGGATGATGGGCACGTGTTGTCCATCCACACTACCACGTGAGAATCCTGGTAGCCATCCATTATGACATGGATACTCAACCCATAATGGAGGTCATTAGTCCAACACTAGGGGCTCTATAATTACTCTCCTATGCATGAGAGTCAGGTATCTTATTCACTATTCATACACTCATTTACCTCATACTCCTTCTGATTTAGCATCAATAAGCAAACAAAAACTGCAGATTTATTTTCATAAACGCAATGAAAGTTGTTCAAACTTAAACGCAAATCATAAATCAT